ATCTCACTTTCATTTACCTAATGGAGAAAAAAAACCTGTTCTGCAGAATTTCTCTTCTGTACAAATGAGCTGCCTTCTGAAAATATGTGCTTAAGATATACTGAGTGATGGGAAGATACACAAGCCAAAGCAGGACAGAGCAGAAAAAAAAAAAAACAAACAAAAAAAAAAAGTTCAGATATTGATGAAGACCTGCTGGATAACATTCAGATTGCTTATTCATCCTGGTAACTACTTTTTCCTTTTTGTTTATCCATTTCACTTAATGATTTTCTGTGTATTGTTACAGACATCTCAACAGTGAGCATGCGCTGGATGATAGAAGTACAGCCCAATGTAGAGTACAAATGCAGGTTGTACAGCAGTTAGAGCTACAGGTAAAATAAAATTTATTTTAATATTACCTCAGTATTAATCAAATCCAATTCTCGACAGCAATAAAAATGAGTTCTGCTTTTCCCACTATGATTGAAAACCAGCTTTCAAAACCTACTTGTAGTAGTTTTAAAAACCGTCAAAAGAAACTGCAGCTTCGTTTCCTCTTTTCCAAACCGTAACTTGAAAAGAAATAGGACACTTAAACAGGCTGACTGATTGGAAATCCATCAGTACGTATCTAATGCTTTTTATCCTCAAACTGTGGGGGAGGGCGGAGGGGGGAGAGCGGATGATGTTCCCCTTCGTTTAGAGTTGCCGATACGGGGGAAGCGGTTGCTGTTTATTTCCAAACGCTGCATGACCTGGCTTGTTTGGTCGTCTCTCATATACTAACACTCTCCATGTATTATTATTTTGTTGCCATTTGTAGCAAACGAGTTTTTCCAAAAGCGGGTAAATTGGGGTGTATTACACGCAATGCATTTTATGTGACTGCCTTTGAAAATGCTTCTGAGTTCTGCATGTCTCCCCGGACCTGGCTGCTCCAGCTGGGCGACTCTGACAGTGTGTCTGTGTGTAGGCAAGGGGTTAGCGAAGGAGGGGAAATTAAAACAATGTTGTACATTATATAGTTACCAGCTATTGAAAAACCTATTTTGTATGCAAGACAGCAGTGTAGAGATATATGGAAAGCCTTGGGCTAAGTACAGAAGATAATTACATTTGGAATTTTACTGAGTTAAGTCATTTATAGCTTCAAATAGTTGGAGAGAAAAATCAGCAAAAACACACTTAAACTTCTTGTTGTTACTTTTCGAGATAAGCATTTTTTTAAATGTCTTTTATCTTCTTATCTTACAAATTACCCTTTTTCTTTCATAGATATTTCGTAAATTTTACTTTCAGGAGCACGCTGGTCATGACACTCTTTAAAAATCCCTATTAGCTAAAGCAATATAAACTATTTTAGTACAAGTTTTAGAAAAACCAAACTACCAGTCATAAAATATCAGAGTTTTGCAGAAATTGTTATGAGAAATGGTCTGTTATTTTAACAAGTTTCTTGGGAATTAGAAAAAAGTCTGCAGTCTTCCTGGTAAACTGAGATATGAGATAATCTTTTACCAAGATGCAGTAATATTCAGGCTGAAGGTAAATCTAGATTTTCTTCAGTTGCAGTCAGCCTGAGAAGCATTAATCCTTCTCTCCTGCGGTCACTGGAAACGTGTGTGCCTGGAACTGTGGGAGGAAGCCCTGTATTAACCGTTGAACAGGACGGAGATGGTACTCAGTTGCCACCCCTCAATAAGTCTTTGACAATATTTTTGAAGGATTGATCAGTGGTGCATTATTCTAATTGTAAAAAGCAACTAATAATTACAGAGTCACACCCGGTTAGTGCTGGGGAGTACCTCCTTACTCAAAGACCGTTGCATGGGAAGGTGACGTGAAGTCCCCAAGACGAGAATGTAATTTCACAGTGGTGTGGGGGCTAAGCCGAAAAGGTTTGGGTGGGTTTTTTTTTTTGTTTGTTTGTTTTCTAACAGTCTTACTAGCACAGCAGTAGTGGAAGCATAATTTACACTGGGATGTTGATAATGGAGTGAAGCAGAGACCATCGTTGGCCAGCGAGGCAGCATCAGTGTGTAGATGAAGGAGGAGGGCTGGTCCCGTTCCCGAAATGCACAAGCAGAGAGGAAGACACCTGTAACTCCCCCTTCTCCCTCTCCCTTCCTCCCACATGTCAGTCCTTTGATGCTTAAAAAAGAAATCAGCATCAATATGTACGTGGGAGGAGACAAAGGATCTGTCCTCCAGTGACTGGTTTTTGCACAGAGCCGTAGTAGAAAGAAAACGTAGCCCAACAGCAGGCTTTTTAATGGTGATGGTATGCAGCAGGGACACTGGGTGATTTGAGGGCAGAGAGCAGCCAGACTAGGACCATCAACCTAATACTCCCGGCAGTGGAGCATTTGTCAGAGTCACAATAGCCGCCCCCCTAGCAGAGTAACTGAGTTTTGGGAGCTAGACTGGGGAGGTGCCCATCACCTTCCCACTCTGCCCCGTGTTACTCAGCGCTGATGAGCGGCTTTGCCTTCCAATGCAGTTGTGAGGTACCACAAACTGTTCAGGGTCCAGCGTCCTAGCAGGATCCAAATGCTGCATGATTTTATTCCTGTACAGCCCCATCGAGACCTGGGTAGAATTTAACTTGCCCAAAAATCATTGTATCTCAGGGATGCGTTTCAGGTTTTGAGTGCGAGAGACTCAAATGCAAGCCTTTCCTTTTTTTTCCCCCGCATGCCATTATTTATCTTGCATATGCAAGTTTTATCAGTGTTACAGACAGAGATGAGTGCAATGTCTTTTAAAGAAAGTAATTTTTGAATTAACTTTTTGTGGAGAAAAAAAAAAAAAAATCCAGTTCTGCTTTCCTGCCAGTACCCCTTTGCAGAAGTGTCATGAAGCTTTGGTCTCAGCATTTCCTTTCATTGCAAACGTACTTAAAATATCACAGACTAGGTAGAGATCCTCTCATATTTCCCTTTGTTTAAACCATCTTGACATGATCATTTGTTGCCATTATAAATAGTGAGAATTGGGCTGCGGGGTGAAACACAAATACAGGAACATATCCCTAGCCTTAGCTAGATCTTAGCTGGAATAGGACGTTCATTTTGCAGCACCACCTTTGAATGGAAAAACATTTCAGGAGAGCAACAAGGCTATTACAAGTTTAAAAAAAATTACCTCCCAGTAGGAGAACATGAAGATGTTTGGCCATTTTCAGTGTAGTGAAAACATGGCTTGGGCCTGTTTCCCTGAGGCATCTGTGGACAATCTTGAAAAGTGGATCCTAAAGCTTTCTAAAACGTGGTTGAAACGAGCACATTAAAAGAGGGAAGAGGCTGTATCTCGGTTGTCTCTTCTGGTGACCGTGACTAGCTTCCTTCTTCCTTGCCCTTGGTCTGTCCAGAATGCTGCTGCCGAAGTGACCTGCCTTTCCTGTTGTCTGGCCATGTTGCTCTTGTTGAATCCTCTCGCTGGGTTTCCATTTTTGCGTTCCATCTCCTTGACGTTATTTTCTGTCTGTGTTTCTCCCGTGTGACGTCTGCATCCTCTGTGCCTAATGCTTTATCTCCCACTCTTTGGTCCCCCACTGCTGTGCTGCCCCCTCTTGCTCCTTGAGCACTTTGTGGCCTGTGCTTTCTGTGCCTCCCTTCTCCTGCCTTTCTGTGTCTGTGGGTCTGGGGTTAGGTTGCCCCTTTTCAAGGCAAGGCACGTGTCTTTGTGTCCAAATTTGTGAGGCACTCCACGCACTTACCTTGCTCTGTGTGTTTCTCTGTGGAAGCACTGTTCACGCTCCTGGATCACGTATGCACCCACCAGAGACAGGGGCAACGTGACAAAGCCAGGCTTGCCGTGAAGAACTTGACAATGCTCTGGAAATTCCCAGAATGTAATGCTTTTTAGTAAGATATAGGGGAAAAAAGAAGGAGACTTGAGAGGGAACTGTGTGTCGTACCAGGCTCCCTCCAAACCTGTGAGCATCTCAGGTTAGGCCAGCGGCTGTAAGCCCTCGGCACAATAAGCTTAAAGAAATCTGCCCACCCCTTGCTTTTGGAGAAGTCCACCTGACGTTTTGCCCTGTGCCATCGATCGAGGGTCCTCATTCAGAGGAGGGGTCTGCTCCTACAGTTATGAAGATGCTTTCCAGCAGGACGCAGCGAGGCTGCAGATGCCAGCTGAGCGAGCCCATGCTTGGAGGTGTGGACTCCTCTTCTCCAGCGGTCCTGCCAGGGTAGTCCTGCTCAATGCTAGCACAAGGAGAAAGATTTACCAGTCTTATTGCCAATGCACATACGGTGCATACGTTCAGATGCAGTTTTATAGACTTAAGTTCCTGTCACAAGAGAGCAACAGGGAAACGAATAATGCTCACCAGTAGCTTTGAAAAATCAGGAGAGTAACACTGTTTAAGAGTGACACTAATCAGTTAGCTTACTTTCAGTGCACAGCAGACCTTGCCCAAGCATACTGTTAGTACATCGAGAGCATTTTCCTGCAAATCCACTAATAATTACCATTTCTGGACCTTTGATTCTCTAGTAGAGTGCCACCAGTGAGAACTTGCTCACATCAGTAGCTGAGCAAACACTCCTGACTTCTGCTGAGTGATGCAGCTGAATGGAGGGGGCTACTAGTGACATTCTAGTCTTATATCACTACTGCTTCCTGACCTAAGGGAAAACAGTTTAAAGAAATTCTTGGGATTTTTTTGCTTCTCTTCAGTGCTTTGAAACTGAGAGACTTCTATTTTTCATAATTTAAACTCCTGCCTAACCGGGTGAGTGTTTGAATTCCTAGACTATGACAAAATACTAGTGTGTGTCTGCCTGAAATGTCGAGAGGATCTTTAATAACGTTCATCCAGCAGAAGCTGCATTCAAAGCGTGCTAAGATGATGACCGAAAACAATAAAAATCAGGACACTGGCAGGTCAGAGTGAAGTGTGCCACTCCATTTCGACGAGGGGCACAGAGGAAATACTGCTCAGGGTGTGTCCCTTACTGCCTGAGTGGCTTTCCCTTGCTGTCACTGCTGTGCTGCAAGCAGGAAGCTTTCAGGTGTCTGCGTTTTATTTATTTCAGTTGGAAGATGTTGATCTTCTGCAGTGGCCTGCGGACCAAAATTTAATGCACAGATGACCCTGCCAAGCAGCTCATGTGCCCAGCAACTGCTAGGAATGAGAAACTGCACAACAAAGCTTCACTGAGAGTAGAAATATTTCTTGGGTTTTTTTTCACTGATTTTGGTAAAACGCTGTAGCTGAGGGTTGAGATCTCTGCTTTCTCCAAAAAGGCCCTCGGAGGACTCTTGGAGGGAGAAGTTCCTGCAGTGCTGCATTGAGAAGAGCACGTAGCTCCCCGCTCTTCTGCGACACACCAGCAAATCCGACCATGAACTTCCAAGAGATCCGCTGTAGGCGTCTGCCTTTCTTACCATTCAGATTTTTGACCCAAAAGAGCAAAGCGAGTTGAAAAGCCCAGTGACTTTGCTTTTGCGCTTCCAGAGCACACAGTGGTGACACTGTTTTTTCCTTTATTTAATTCATCTCTTGGAAACCTGTGTGCCAAGTTTTATCCCATCATGATGCCTTTCTGGCATGGTCCGAAACCCCTTGCCTTGTGTAGAGCGGGACAACCTTGACTGTAAGGTGATGCAATGGGGATTTATGACCGAGTCTCCTTTTATATACACTTAGCCCAACTTTACTGCTCCAGAGATGCCTCTGATAAGGTGGGCAGGTTGTTAAAGTCGCAGGGGAACGTGAGCAGAGCTCTCTTCTCTTGGCACGGGAAATCTGCCTTGTCTAAAGCAAACCTCAACTCTGCAAAAATTGTCCTTTTTAAGAACCTGATCTAAATCCCGTTGGAAATAGGAACTTCTATGCTGGGCACGTAGGTTAATTACACCCCCTTTTCATTAGTACTATTTCAGAGTATCTTGCTACTTTTATTTTCTTTAAGAGCGGCTAGAAAAGGTCCTGTTCACACATACAAAAATGTCACGATTCCAAAAATAATGAGGTTTAGTGCCTGACCAGCACACCGTAAATGCATTGAGAAGCTGTCTGGGTCACGGCCGTGCGTGATCCAGGGAAAGCAACTGTAAGCTAGGTGCAGATTTCAACTGAAAAATGCCAGAGACCCCAGAAAGTGAGGGACGGTGCTTAGGGCATATGCTTTGCCCCAGTTCGGGCATGACGTGGGGAGCGAATGGGGAAGGGTAAAAGCATCCTCCCGCAGCAGTGTGGACACCAGAGGCGCCCAGGGTGGGTTAGCCGCTGTGGCCTCCTTGCTTGCTGCACGTGCCACAGAGCCTGCACATGGTGTGAAAGCTGCAGTCCATTTGTGCGGCTCGTTTTGGGGAACTAAAGGAGGAAAACGCATCTGAGAGGCGCTGCATAACTTGCTTGCTGCAGTGCCTCCCGAGCTGGCGTGGGAGTGGTTAATAAACATGATTCACTGTTGTCTTCTCGCTGTCAGTGCTGGAGCGAACCTCTTGGTGCCAGCAGGTCTAGCTCCTCTCGCTCAAGGGCTAATGCATTTTGCTTTGGGAAGCACTGACACCGAGCACCAAGAGTTAGTTTTACCTCGCAAAAAAAAGACCATATACAATTTCCAAACTGCTCAGCAATAAAACTCTTCTGTCTTGTGCACTGGTGCCAGCTGTTTAATTAGGAATAAGCAGAGGTTGGATTTTATGCATACGAGTAATAGAGCTTTTTTTTTCCCCCCCTCTTTAGCTTGCAAAAGATAAAGAGCGCCTGCAAGCTATGATGACACACCTGCATGTGAAGTCAACTGAACCAAAAGCCACCCCTCAGCCCGTAAGTACTGAACTGTGCAGAAACCAAACAAAACCTCATAACAGCCTCTTTTCCTGTTTCCCACCTGAGCGCGTGATGCGAAGCGTGGTCTGCTCTAAAGTCTGTCGCAGTGAAGAGATGTGAAGTACTTCTCTAGCTGGTTACTTTGTAGGAGACACTGCCGCATAAGCCCAACTTTCATCGCTCTTTTTTCTTCAAGGCGTTTCAGAGAAGTTGAACTCTAAAGCAGATGCACTGGGCCTTTTTCTGGCCTCACGTACCAGCCTGTAAGTGGCTTTACATCAGTCAGACGCGCATGAAATCCTAGGAAGTGTTAGGAATGAGATGTAATTAAATTATATTTAGTATATTTATTTTGCTTGCTCTCTAAGCCTGACATACGTTTACGGTAGAACAGACTCCAGTTGCACGTTTTGATGTTAATCGCTGTTACCTCGTGTCAGGTTTTATACTGCTGAAACTGAGAAGGGAAACCACCTCCACCCCCAATAGCTCTTTAAAGGTGGAGAGCAACCAGTGCAGGAGGGGGGTCAGCCCCTAAACATCCCCTTCTTGCGAGGGGCCGGATAGCTCTGTAGCCCAAGCCAACCTCCGGGGACCCCAAAAAATGGCAAATCTACCGTCTCGTTCTCTGACGGAAATGACTCTTCAGCTGTTGTTTTCTCCTAACCTCTTAATGCTGAAAACGTTCCTCGCAGCTTCACGTGATTATTCAAAATGGAGAGAGTGCTCTGCTTCTTGATTTTAAGATTTGTAAGATTTAAAGGTACACTGGCTTTATTTGATTTTGCTTTGAGTCATTGTGTGAAAATTAATTGAGCGTTGACAATCTATAGTTAGTACGAGCAATTTTAATCAATATGCAATGATGCAGCATAATGACAAAGTATTGGTTTATCTGTTTTGACTGATTTTTTTTTTTCTATAAATAAAGCAAACACACACCCATATATGTATGATTTATGGTGATAGAAATAAAAAGGAGTCAGACTATTAACCCAGCAAATATGGTAGCCTGCCAAGATGCAGTTGGTAGACAAAATTAATGTCTGAAACAGAACACATTACAGATATAGAGAACATAAAATCATTAAACACTTCGCGCACCCATCTTTACTAGAAAAGGATTTCTCAGTTTCCATGTAGTTGGATATAAATGGCTGCGGAAGTGCATAGGGAGGCTGCTAGATAGAAAATAGCAGGCTATTGGGCAAGGCTGGAGATGTCCAAGTCAACGGGAGATTTCGGAGCCGTCTTGGAGAGAGTTGAGCGGTAGGTATAAACCCTTCCATTTAAGCTGCTGAGAGTCCTAAAATTGCTTGATCCGGTGGATTCCAGCTCTCTAGAGTGGAAACCGCTTACAGTGTCTATAAAAATAGCATTCTTCTAGTTCCTCATATCCATCTCAGCCTGAATGCAAATGCCTCGGCGCATTGTTGGCAAAGTATATAGACCCAACAGAACGGGGAGGAGGTTTGGTTTCTATAGCTCTTACTGGATTAAAAATTAAAACAGCGGAATAATCTGGGAGTCTCAAAGCACTCTGCCTTGAGGCCTTTCATAACAGCGGTGCCCCTCAGGAGGAAGGATTAAAAACTAAAGGGAGGAAATCAGAGGGCGGCGAGCGCGGCTTGGCAAGTCAGCCCGTGGTCGATGCTCAGCGGCGGAAGGCAGGAAGCTTCCGCCGGTGGTGTAGGCTACGAAGATACCAGGTGGTGTCGCCGTGAAGATTAGTATTAACAGCTAATAAACAGGGAAAGCAGCAGAAAAAAAAAAAAATGAACGCAGGGGGAAAAGGGCTGTCTTGATTAGTATTAAAAATGTTTTACATTCTGGAAAATTATAGCTTTGTTGGGGACCTCCTACTAAATTTATTTTTAACTGCTCTATTGAAAATTCTGTACCACTAGTCAACATTATCTCTCAGTTGCTCAGCACAGTGTTTCTTTATTAAAAGAAATAGGCATGAATATTTTTGACTGAAAAATTAATAGCTTTTGAATTCATACACAGCAGGTTTTCTTTTGCAAAGAAGTCCAATATCGCTGCACAGCACTTCTATAACCATTTATTTAGAGTCCAAGTCAAACCTTTGACAGCTAGAGCAGTGTTACAAGCCAACATAAAGAACTCCAAGATGTAAACCAACAATAGGCAGTCTGTGTGAGGTTTGCCATTGTCAAATACATAGATTGTTTGGATTAGTTTATGTAAATGTACTGTTGTATTACCCTTTGGAAAAAAAAAGATCACATTTGTGTATGAAAAGTGGTTTCGTTCACAGGCAGCATTATAAATTCCTTATCCTTTAACTTACATGTTAGAAGTAAAAATTGGTGCCTGACAGGCCTATATTGTGTGGCACTCTGTTGTTGGATTGAAACTGCCTTCTTTTCATTTATTGAAATATAGAAAAATTTATTATAGATACCATCTGATAAATCAGAAATTATTAAAATATGTATAGGTGAAGCATTTGAAAATTAATTATAAAATGTAGAAGTATAGTGTTTTGCATAAATTGTGCTTTCCTTGTGAAAAAAATACACAGGCACTGCCTAGACTATGCTAGACCCTAGTCCTTTTAACTCAGTGGGATAGGACTTTGGAAAAAAGATCTGATGACCATTATTGCGGTGCGAAGTATTCTCTGCATCCAGTAATTAATTTCTTTTCTCCCCCCCC